GTTTAACGATTTTGAGTACTTGGTACTCAACTATGGTGGGGGGGGGGGGGGTTAGAAAAAGGGGGTAACGATTTAGAGCACAAAGTACTCTACTATGGGAGAGCTTAAAGCCGTCCCGAGACCGATACAACCATCAGTGCATCAGTTACTTGTTTAGAAAAAAAGTTTAACGATTTTGAGTACATTGTACTCAATTATGGGATTCGATTGTGTGTCGCCAAATACAGTGCGCGCATTTTGCATCTCTAGTTTCCTTATGAAGACACAAGTAGGTGCCACTGGTTATTGGGAAAGAAACGTTGACTTCCTTCGCAATTTCCGCAAAGATTTCGACATCACTTTCTGCCAAACAGAGTTCTTCAAGTAAGGACGTCGAACTTTTAATTAGTATTCGACATATTATTTGTGTTAGCAGCAAAAAAAATATACTTATGGTTGCAACAGAAGCCACGTAGCAAGACTCTCTCGCACAGATGAATGGCTGGTTACCCGCAGTTTTGGGGACGGCGCTTGTTTCTTTTATTTTTGTTTTGATTTTTATTCTAAGGTTGTAACCGACTATACGAACGTGTAATGTGTGAGGGTCACGTGTGCGCGTGACTACGCTGGCATCCGCAGTCGGTGCACAGCAGGAGAGGAACGCGCTTTGCTTCTTGCATTGAGCTTTGAAATGCCTTGCCAGGCATTGTAGTAAATGCAAGCGATCTTTGCAAATTCGAAAAAAATTATTGGACGTGTACTTGAGTTATGGAGCTGCCAGATGATTAGCCTACATGTTGATTGATTGATTTGTGGGGTTTAACGTCCCAAAACCACCATATTATTATGAGAGACGCCGTAGTGGAGGGCTCCGGAAATTTTGACCACCTGAGGTTCTTTAACGTGCACCAAAATCTGAGCACACGGGCCTACAACATTTCCGCCTCCTTCGGAAATGCAGTCACCGCAGCCGGGATTCGACCCGCAGTCACCTGCGGGTCAGCAGCCGAGTACCTTACCCACTATACCACCGCGGCGGGGCAGCCTGCATGTTTGCTTGGTTTGAGTTTCTTTGTTTTCTTTGTCCCAGTTATGTTTATAATGCGTAGCCAGGCATTAATGTACATGCAGGCAGTGTTTGTCTATTTGAGTTACGCATGTATTAATTGATCGCGCTACTACCTGATATAGATGTATATTGGTTGTTTTGTATTTGGTTGCACCCTCTCTGTAAGAGTCCTCGAGAGAGGGCTGAAAGTATTACGAAATAAATAAATAAATAATAAATAAATAGCGTGGACTCCTTCACGGAGTTGGGTGCGCGCCGCTGAGTACTTTGCCATCGTCCTTCCCGCTTTGCCCTCGTGTTCTTGCCCTCGCTCGTGGTGATACGTCACGAACACAGCCCCACACATTCTGATCAAACTCGGATTTTATACGGGACATCACGGCGACGGCGACGTTGTGCACTAAGCGCCCGTGTAGCTAGGATAGGTGTTACAAATTTTCGTGGCGAGCTCAGCAAGTCAGATAGATGCTCCGATGTTGATGCATGGACTGCGGCTATGGTTGTTGCATATTAGGTAGCGTGAATTTCGATGTGGTCGATGCTGGACTATTGAACGCTGAAGAAAGCAATGCTAAAGGGGAACGTCAAGTATTAAGTAGTTCGAGTGTTAGAGTGAATCGTTTTTGTGGACGACTCGCGAACCACTTTAGGAATGATTACACAAGGGAGATTACACAAAGAATGATTACACAAGGGAGAAGGCAGGGAAGTTAACGAAACCGCAATCCGGTTGGCTACTCTCAGCTGGGTAAAATGGAAAGGGGAGTTGAAAGACGAGAGAGAGAGTTTGACAGGAGGGCGAAAAGAAAAAAAAAAATGAAAGGAAGTGTGTGGACACTTATGCGCTGACTCTTACGGAAACGCGTTAACAAATGCACTAACGAATGCGCTAAAAAATGCGCTAGCGCTAATGTGGCGCTCGCCCCGAACAATAGTTGTAGACGTTTACAAAGGTCCGAAGTCCTTAAAATAGGTCGGCATTGTTTTTTTTTCAAATGTCGAGGAAGCCGTGTACGAAGAATAGAAACCGTAAGAAGACGGAAAACGTGCGTCATGCACTTTCGCCAAGTGCCTGTATAACGACGAGTTCCGAGGCGGTGGACGTGCACGCAAGTTTTTGACTCATCACTGGCACCCTCGGTGCAAGTCTTGCGGAGTACGGTGCAGCACGGTGCCGTTAGCGAGAACCACGACGCGGTCCGGCACGAAAAGTGTAAGAAATTCGCGTGGCTCTTTTCTCAGTGATAGAGCTATTGCATACATTTAAGAACCTAAAGGTAGCTTGTACTGGAACTCTGAGGGTGATTTGCTAAACAACCCGCGTGCTTGGACTAAGGTGCACGATAAAGAACTTCGGATCATTTTAATTAATCCGCAATTTCTTTTTCTTCTAGGACGTATCTCATAACCATAACTGGGTTTTGGCACATGAACCAAATAATTTTCTACTAACCGGATTTGTGAAAGGCAAATCATATCTGGAGTTTTACATGCTAAAAGTGTAATATTATATTGAGGTATGCGCTGTAGTGGTGTGTGCGCAAGATGAATTTTCGCCTCTTCAGGTTCTTTAACGCGCACCTGAATCAAAGCAGAGAAGTGTTCTTACAGTTTACCCCTATCGATATTCGGCAGCCAGGAACTGAAATCCTGGCCCGCCGCGGTGGTCTAGTGGCTAAGGTACTCGGCTGCTGATGGAGGTAGAAATGCTGTATAGGCCCGTGTGCTCATATTTGGGCGCACGTTAAAGAACCCCAGGTGGTCGAAATTTCCGGAGCCCTTCACTGCGGTGCCTCTCATAATCATGTGGTGGGCTTGGGACGTTAAACCAAACATATCAATCAATCAATCAATCAATCAATCAATCAATCAATCAATCAATTAATCAGGAACTGAATCCGCAACTTAGCGCCAGATTTGGTTGTAGATTGACATGTAAACACATGCATTGCGCTTGCTTTGTGAAAATTTTCCCCAACGTACCTAAGACCACCACTTGAAAGATTTGGTCAACGCCTAATCGTAATGCGAGCTAACTTTTTGTGTTTGCGTCCGTGTCGTTGTACTAACGTCAGGCGTAAGCCAACGAAGAGAGCTGAACCACTGTCGCGTACGACCCCGCTTCGGAGAAGTCATTACTTGCTTGTACCGAGTCCATACATGGACGCTTCTAGACGGTGTTGGAAGTCCGCGTAATGATATGCGCACGGGCGTCGTCAGCAAACCGTCACGAATTCGCTGACGCGGGCACGCTTGAATAATGCCGCCGAATATAGGGTGCAAGCAATCGACACGTCGTGGCTCTTGTGTTCGTCATTACCACTGCGACGCGTTGTACCAGGTGTTTACGGTGTGTTTATTGTCAATAGCGTGTTTATTGTTCTCACCAAATCGTCCTTTCCAGTAAACGTCCGCTAACAGCCCTAAGCGAGTCTTAAAGAGAAAAGAACAGAAAAGTGAGCCCTGAAACTGTCTTCATCAGAGTGCGACACCTCAACAGTAGCTCACGAGGGATGGGGTAAGGAGGGATTAAAATGATAGGATTAAAAGGTAAAGGAGAGAGCGAGGCGCAGGGACAACGAACGACAGAAAACGACGGAAGTAAAAAGGAGATGGGAAAGATGGACACTGTCGCAGGAGTCCGAGGACAGGGCACAACTCAGTGAGAGCTCTACGGCGTCAGTAGATGGCGTAGGGCGAGCCCAGTCAGTCAGAGCTGCGCTGTCGTCGGAAATCGCGGGACACAACCGGTCGGCACGAAATCCAGAGAGCGAGTCACCGCTAACAGCCTATACCAACGAGCGTTCTTGAATAGGTGTGTCTTGTTCGAGTGCGTGTTAGATTAGCCCTGTAGTGCTGTGTCGCTCGTTATTAATAAGAAAGCTTTTAGATGCCTCATCAGACACGAAAAGTGACTGTCGTCGTCAACCCGAGTGGTGCAAGCAGTCATAACGCTAGAATTTGGTGACATTATCATGGCGTCAAAGTGACGTCAGTTTGACGAAACGTAACGTGACTTCGCCGCACGTAGCCGTCATCACACGACATCGGCGCTTTGTCGTAGACGGGCCGATTCCGGAGGCACGTGAGGTTTTTGAACTAGTATACGGTTTTGCGACAACTCCGATCTATCTAGTTTTTGTTTTTCTTTACAGTCCATCGTGCGATGCCTCCCCCCCCCCCTTTCCCTTTCGCTTGCCCCTGGAGCAAAGCTTTTTGCATCTAGCATACTCTTTCAGCGCCTGCAATCTTGGAGGCCATTTCCTTTTTACATCTAAAGCGTGGTTTTGCAACGCCTTCTATCTCGGGAGCAATGCTAAATCACGTTATAGCATAAAGGTTGCAGGCTCTGACGGGCCGGTACAATAGACTGAGACGAGAAAGAAAAAACAAGACAGCTTTCACGTTCAAGTCATCACAGGCGAATGCGGAAAGAAACGTGTGGGTTTTTCTGTTTATTTTAAACAGTACTACAGGTTTTCTTGCGGTGATTCACAATATAGAGTCCGATAGTGAGCAAAGGTCGCGTGTAATGCGGTCAGGAAAAGTTTATTTTTTCATTGACTCAGCGCAGTCGAAAGCAGCGTGTCGCCACGAGGCGGATGTGAGCATTGTTGCGACGAATGTGTGAATCGCGAACTCACAAGGAACACGAAGTCACGGCGCATGCAGTTTGGCCTATAAAACACGGCGCACGTCGAGATGTCTTCGTCCCGTATGCTTGCGTTACCGACTTCTTCTAATCGAGCCGTATTAACTAACAACTTATCGAGAATACCCTGCAGATAACTTGAGGCGTGTTTGTTACTTCGTGCCTGTGGGCCGTGATTAGTAAATGAACGTTTAATGCATGTGCAATGTGTTTAATCAGTCTGTCTGTCTCTTTCTCCACTGTATCTTTCCCTGAACTATTCGTGCGTCTCTTCCGCCACCTGTCCTCCCAACCACTCAGCGAGGAGACACTCAACGACCTGTACAAAGAGCTACAACGCAGCGAAAAGCCTCAAGTCGTGGAACGTTTCGAGGACGTCATTGCCGACCTGTTGGACAACATGAAGAGGCTTCAGGAGGAGAACAGCCAGTTGGAAAGCACGTGGCTCAAGTAAGCATTCATTCATTCATTCATTCATTCATTCATTCATTCATTCATTCATTCATTCATTCTCAATCAATCATTCATTCATTCTCAATCAATCAATCAATCAATCAATCATTCATTCATTCTCAATCAATCAATCAGTCAGTTTGTCTAAGCTTTTTCTTGCGGGGATAACTCCTAAAAAAAAAAAATTCAACAGATCCCACGTACCTGAAAATTGACGATATGCGAAGCATACGGAGGGAAGGTGGCCATGCTGCAATTTTTTATTGAGCGACACGTCATTAAATGACGCTAAATATATGTCCAAATGTTGCACGAACAGACATGTTGAAGAGAGTCAGATGTTTATATAATCAGGTGTTTGCACTTCTGCAACGACACCAACTGGAACATGCGTAGTAGCAACAGTAGAAGCTGATATAAAGCGCTGATGCTCGCGAGGATGCTGGCCCTGCTACATCAATCAATTTATGCGCATGGCATCTAACCACAATTGAGGCTAACCCGACGTGATGGCTGTATCAAAGGAGTATTTATGTAATGTTTATAAAATTGGGTAGGCAGCACTGCAACCACTATTGCCGTTTCACGACTATTAGCGTCGATTTGAAAAGTTGTTTCGAGACCTGGCCTAGCTCTGTGGTAAAATGCTTCATTGCCACGCAAAATGCTTGGGTTCGATTCCACCGTGGACCCTGACATTTATTCTTTGTATTCGTCTGGTCGACGCTACCGATTTCGTCTATTTCTTAACGCTCGCGCGTTAAAATTGACCGTGTGTTCTCCTCGTTCTGGGTACATACTGAGTGTCAATCACCAGTGGCACATACCCGTCCATGGGTATGTGCCACTGTCTGACGGGAAGTGTTTGACGACGTACGCGACGGTAATGTGACATTATTCATGTATTGAGTAGCGCGTCATATTCGTCTAACCATTTTGCCCTCCCATGCTGGTTTTGGTTCACGCCAAGTTAAGGGGGGGTGAGCACGAGAGCACCCAAACGTAAGCGGCTAGATAGATAGATACGCTCAAAGAAGCTGAAGTTCGCTAAGAAATGCTTGGCATTAAAAAAAAAAAAAAAGCTCAGCACGCATACCAGTGCGGTTTCGTTCAGTGCTGAGTATTTCACACGTGCGCGAAGCTTCTAGTACGCACCATACTTGTGCAAAACTAGCACAGGGTTTCTGCTTGGACTTGCTTTATTTTTCTACAGTGAACTTGGGTTGGTCCGCGTAAAACGCGGATCGAAGGCCCGCTGCGATCCTCACCGTGGCGGTCGCATTACGATGGATATGAAATGTCATAGCCTATGCAGTGTACAGGGCAGCGTCAGTACAAGTTAAGGAACGCCAGATGGTCGAAAGTTTCGGAGCCCTTCCACTGCGGCGTCTCACGTAGTCATGTCGCAGTTCTCGCGCGTGAAACTCCAGATGTCACTGTTTAACCCAGGCGAATGAAAACTCGCTCACACAGCCTGAACGCAATCTATCAATTCTTTATCGCCGAGGGCGTCGTGACCTCATTTATACCTCGTCAACAAACATTTCGCGTGAAAGCAAGGACAGCATACCTCAACGATAGGGCGTCAACACACACATGCCAGGCCACTCAGATGCCGTATTTGTTCGAATGTAACGAGCGTCTTTTTTTTTCTCCGCATTTTCGCTGCTTAAACTCGACCCTCGCGTTATATTCGTGTATTCAAATCACCGAAATAACTATTTTTTCCCCTTCCAGGATGCAGTGAAAATTCGCTACGCTCGTTACAATTGTGGCCGCGTTACAATCGAGTAAATACGGTGCGCTATTTCCTTAGCGGAGTCAATTCTTTCTTTATTTATTTCTTTTCTCTTTCTTTCTTTCTTTCTTTCTTTCTTTCTTTCTTTCTTTCTTTCTTTCTTTCTTTCTTTCTTTCTTTCTTTCTTTCTTCCTTCCTTTCTTTCTTTCTTTCTTTCTTTCTTTGGCCCGCGTTATGCAATTATGTTGTACATACGTTGCGAATGCATAGCCCGTAAAATGCATGCACTTGGAACGGAGCGTAAGGAGCGAGGCTCGACTGTGGTCCGAGGAGAACACCCGTTTCGCTCTGTGTCCAGGGAGAAGAAGGAGCACGAGGAGCACTTGCGGCGCATGGAAGAGGAGATGGACAACCAGGTCAAGCTTGTCGAGTTGCAAGCGAAGGCCAAGGTGAGCTACCAGCGCTTGGATTTCGAACGCGAGCGTTATATAACGTCGCGTGGCATCGTGGAACGAAATCACGTGCCCCCAAAGGCAGAGAGGAGCGAGATCAAATATCTGTAAAAAGATTTGAGCCTTATGTGTGTGTGTGTGTGTGTGTGTGTGTGTGTGTGTGTGTGTGTGTGACGTTTCAGCTGGAGCGTCCTCCACCTGGGGGTACATGCACCTGTGACGCTGGCTGCTTTGTCCAATCCCAGCCCCACCACTAAAGGATCATTTAATAAATTCAAAGATAGGTGTGAAATCTCAAATTGGGTGTCACCCTTGCGGAAAAAGCAGATGCAAGGTATGCAAACACATGCAGACAACGACAGTGGCGAAAAGCACCCACTCGGATTTTAAGCATAGGATAAGAGACGCACTAAACTGTGACTCAGACAACGTCATATACCTCCTGGAATGTCGGGTATGTAACAAGCAATACGTGGGCCAGACAGACACTCCGTTTAAAATTAGATTCAACAACCATCGGGCACATGTACGATCTCTGCCAGGCCTTCCACTTTCAAAACACTGCACATTAAAAGACCACAGCTTTGATGACATCAGGGTTACACTACTAGAAAACAACTTTCGAACAATCAGAGAACGGGAACAACGGGAATCTTATTTTATCTACAAATTTAACACGATAAAATACGGAATAAATGAACACCCAGGCACTCTGTCAGCGTTACGACCGCTAAAAGACGCAAGCGCTTCTCTCTAACCAGTCCGGTTTCATTACGACAATAATATTACCCGCTAACAAAGCTTTTGGCCTATGCATCTGACAACATAGAAATGATTTGCCTCATCAAGCACAGCCGGAACGCACAGAAAAGTGGTCCCGGATGTCATACGGCCCCCCTCTCCTTTTTCTTTTCTTTTTTTCCTTCTTTAGGTTTTAACGCACATTATGTTCCTTCACTGACAAGGAGCTGACAGCTAGGTGGTTTCGTTAACTTTTTCATACATGCGCGCATGTCTTTCCAGTGAGCCGCAACTGTGTGGTGATTGTCCCGGATGTCGTACAGTCCCCCCCCCCCCCCTGTTTTTTTTTCTTCTTTAATTTTTAACGCACATTCTGTTCCTTCACTGACAAGGAGCCATTGCATATAATGAATATCGATGGCGGCGCCTCAACCACTGGCTCTTTCATTCCTCCCGACGCCACCAGCACGCACTCGAAGCGCTTAAGCTCTCCCCATTAACTTGTCTTAAACTTCAAAGAGAAACGAGCCGCCAGCGGACTACACGGAAAGGTGAAATATAAGAACGGCGGCACACTGCCCACTTGGGGCAGAGTGGGTGCGGGGGAGGTATTGTTGACAATGATGACATTGCTCATCTACCTCTGCCCTACTCTGTTGAGATGCTGCCCCTTTCTAATTACGCCGTGTCGGTCTTGCTTCTTCTCCTAGATTTTCTATATTTTATTTAATGTTTCTCCTCCCGTTGCGCTGTTTCTTCTTCTTTTTTTTCTCTCTCTTTTTTCTTTGTTGTTTTTTTCTTTTTTTACTTTTCTTTTGACCCCTTCCCTCCTGTCTCGACAGGCTATAAGAAGACACGGAACATGTGTAAATATTATTATGCCTTGAAAAAGACGGGGTTCCCGTTGTTACGACCGGCCCTAGGGAACCAAGCAAAAGGAGGTTGGGGGAGAACCGGTTCTTGACCGACTGTGTCGTCCAGCCCCACCTCCCCATTCAGGCTCCCCCTCTCGCCGGGAGAACTCCGGAATCTGCTGTGCGTTCGTGACCATGTTTGGCAACATTTTAGGGCGCCGTGACCATATATGGACCTCGTGTTAGGTTGTGCCACTCCATGTGTTGTGAGGTGTGTTTCCCCCTCTCTCGTGGCCGAGGTGCCGGAGCCACCGTATTGGCTGACGATGCGGACAGTGCGCCCAGTGTCGGCAACGCGGCGCTATAAAATGCCGAAGACGTTTTGTATCTCTCTCTTCTCTCTTTGGATCAGTTGATCACTTCTCCACATGTAAATAAATCTCTGTCGTTCGTTCGGGCGCTTCTTCTCGCTGAATTGTTGGACGATGGATCCTGCGACGGGGCCAGCTACCGAAAACGAGACCGGCAGGACCCGGAGTCCCAACACCGTCGAAACGTCGGCACAATAAACAGTTATTATGTGAAAGCGCATCTACTTTCATTAATATATATATATATATATATATATATATATATATATATATTATATATATATATATATATATATATATATATATATATATACATCATCAGCCTGACTACGTCCACTGCGGGACAAAGGCCTCTTCCATGTTCTGCCAGTTAACCCGGTCCTGTGCTTGCTGCTGCCAATTTATACCCGCAGACTGCTTAATCTCATCTGCCCACCTAACCTTCTGTCTCCCCCTAACCCGCTTCCCTTCTCTGGGAATCCAGTTAGTTACCCTTAATGACCAGCGGTTATCCTGTCTACGCGCTACATGCCCGGCCCATGTCCATTTCCTCTTCTTTATTTCAACTATGATATCCTTAACCCCCCGTTTGTCCCCTAATCCACTCTGCTCTCTTCTTGTCTCTTAAGGTTACACCTATCATTTTTCTTTCCATTGCTCGCTGCGTCGTCCTCAATTTAAGCTGAACCCTCTGTGTAAGTATCCAGGTTTCTGCTCCGTAGCTAAGTACCGGCAAGATACAGCTGTTATATACCTTCCTCTTGAGGGATAGTGGCAATCTACCTGTCATAATTTGAGAGTGCTTGCCGAATGTGCTCCACCCCATTCTTATTCTTCCAGTTACTTCAATCTCGTGGTTAGGCTCTGCGGTTATTACCTGCCCTAAGTAGACATAGTCGTTTACAACTTCAAGTGCACTATTACCTATCTCGAAGCGCTGCTCCTTTCCGAGGTTGTTGTACATTACTTTCGTTTTCTGCAGATTAATTTTAAGACCCACCTTTCTGCTCTCCTTGTCTAGCTCCGTAATCATGAGTTGCAATTCGTCCCCTGAGTTACTCAGCAATGCAATGTCATGGCGAAGCGCAGGTTGCTAAGGTACTCTCCATTAACTCTTATCCCTAATTGTTCTCATTCTAGGCTTCTGAAAACCTCCTGTAAGCACGCGGTAAATAGCATTGGGGAGATTGTGTCCCCCTGCCTTACAACCTTCTTGATTGGTATTCTGTTGCTTTCTTTATGAAGCACTATGGTAGCAGTTGATCCCCTGTAGATTTCTTCCAGAATGTTTATATATACTTCATCTACGCCCTGATTCCGCAGTGTCTGCATGACGGCTGATATTTCTACTGAATCAAACGCCTTCTCGTAATCTATGATGGCTATGTATAGTGGTTGGTTATACACTGAGCATTTCTCTATTACCTGATTGATAGTATGAATGTGGTCAATTGTTGAGTAGCCTGTTCGAAGTCCTGCTTGTTCCTTTGGTTGATTGAATTCTAATGTTTTCTTTACTCTGTTAGCAATTACCTTTGTAAATAGCTTGTATACGAGAGAGAGCAAGCTGATCGGCCGGTAATTCTTCAAGTCCTTGTCATCTCCTTTCTTATGTATTAAGATGATGTTACCGTTCTTCCAAGACTCTGGTACCCTTCCCGTCAGGAGACACCTTGTAAACAGGGTGGCTAGTTTTTCTAACAGAATCTGTCCTCCATCTTTCAGCAGATCTGATGTTACCTGATATATATATATATATATATATATATATATATATATATATATATATATATATATATATATATATATATATATATATATATATATATATATATACATATCACAAACAAAAGTGATGCTGGGTCCGGGAAAGATTATTCGTATAGGAAAGAAGACGCACGACGCACGTACGAAGTTATTTTATTGACGTTTCGGCTGTGCGTCCGGCCTTCATCAGAATACAGCTTATGGCACGAGTGCTGTTTATACTTGTGTATATCAATAAGATACAAATATGAAAAACCGGCATGAAAGATATATATATATATATATATATATATATATATATATATATATATATATATATATATATATATATATATATATATATATATATATATATATATATATATATATATGCAAGTCACACAATCACACAATATGAAGGGCACCTATTCTAAGAGTAAAAAGATATTGCTCCCATGCGCGAGCACGTTGTTTACAAATAAAAGATAAAACGCATAAAAGATAAAGCACATAACATGAAGAGTAGTCCGACCCGGTGAAAGCAAGGGAAAAAAACTATAAAATACTAATAAAAATGACAAAGACGTTACAAAGCTGCTACGTAATGAACGGACACAGACAATGTAGTGCGACTTGCTGAGCAAGGTTGAAAAAAGGTGGACAGGGTGATACAGGTTACGCAGATAGGCAACTAAGTTTTCCTACGTTTTCATTCAGACCAGATGTGACGGCGTTGAACTTATAGATGAGGAATGATTCACGGGCTTCTCTATCATAATTTGCGCGGAAACCAGATTCTAGTATTGTGACCTGTAGATTTTCAAAAGAGTGGCCAGGGAGGTGCACGTGTCTTGAAACGGGCAAGTGGGGCAAGGTGTTAGCATGAGATTCATGGTTCTTAAAACGCAGTCTAAAAGGCCCTTCTGTTTGACCAATGTACTGTATTTCACATAGGGCACATTCTATCATGTATATCACGTTCTTAGAATCGCAGTCAAGATTGCCTTTGATTTTTAAGGAAAAGTTGAAACCAGTACTGGTGACCTGTTGGCATGTGCGCATGTAAGGGCATATTTTGCATCGGGGTTTTTGGCAAGGTTGGCACCCGATCGTGTCAGGACTGTCTGCTTTCGACGATGATGATGATGAGAGTATGTCTCGAATAGTTTTAGCTTTGCGATACGCTGCTTTAGGTGGTTCGGTGAAAATGTTTCTTAAGCGTTCACTTTGCATTAGAATATTGTGGTGCTTTCTCAGCGCATTCGAAACACGCGGAACTGACGCAGAATGGGTAAGGACTAAGTTTGTCTGCGGTGAGGGAGTTTAGTTTTTAGCAGCGCACAACAGCGTTCTACGATTATGCATGTCCGCACGTTTTATTGCGTCATCAATTAATTGCGGCGGATATTTTTGTCATCCTTTAGTGTTCTGCAAATTTTTTGAAACTTTGATTGCTCTGATCAGATTCTTTTAATGCGTAAGGCCTAACTGTAAGGGATGCCAGTTTTGCAATGTTTCACGTGGCTACTATCAAAGTGCAAATACTGTTGCCGGTCTGTAGGCTTCCTGTATAGAGCAGTGAATAGCTTATCATTTACAATTGAAATGCTTACATCAAGAAAACTAAGCGTTGATGTGGAATAGGTTAGAGAAAATGATAGTGATGGATGGGCATCATTGAAGTCAGATATGAAGGAAAGCAACTCCTGTTCACTATGCGGCCAAATAAAAAAAAAGTCATCCACTGTGCCAGTCCGGACACTGAAACGACCTGGTGCTGTCACCTACCAGCGGCTATGCGATCTAAAAAAAAAAAAAAAAACTTTCGTTTATTCTACTGTGATGGCGCCATATCTCACGCAGCACCTTCAGACAGAAGGCTATCGTCTTGTTACGTCACTTGCGGAGGAGCACGGAGATACATGGTCAATTTTTTTGTTTACCTCTGTTTTGCGACGCAGGTGCAAGAGGAAGTGGAGGCCAAGCGGAGGACGCTTCAGGCCAAGATGAGCGAAGAGATGAACGAACTGCAGTCGCACGTATCCCTCTTCGAAAAGGTGTGCCATTTGTTACTCCGTTGTTATCGCACGATTTTTATTCACGTGTTCTTGCAATTTGATATGCTATGGATGGCTTGCGTTGACGTCACTGTAACTTCCGTATTGGAGCGAAAGAACGGGGAATGCGACGTTTGCGACTCGTAATAATGCTTCTAAAACATCACGTGCAGGCTTTTTTTTTGTTATCACGTCAAAGCAGGTTAATCTCTCGATCACTGCTTTGGTTTGGGTTTGTTGGTGCATGATACGCATTTTGAGAGGGCAGCGCGAAGGCAGTGTCAAACAAACATAGTATAGACACCGCGTGCGCTGACTACAAACAGCGTTTATAGTTTGGCACATATAGGCATACATGTGCACGCAATGGCGATAAAGATTAGTTGTTGGTTAGCGCCCGTGGTGTCTACTACGTTTCTTTAACCCGGTGGCTTTGCGCTGCCCTTTAACCCGGTGGCTTTGCGCTGAAAAGGAGGTTAATTGCAACTTGGTTAATAGCAAAGCCGCCATCGTGAAGTGCGTTCAGAAGCCGTGTCCAGGACGTCATATGCAAATCTACAAATGTTACATCCATAGGAGTCGTTGCCTCAGACAGACTGGCCGACGTTTCGATAAACACTGCTTGAAAAACATTTAAGCGGCTTCGCACTAGTGGTGCGAAGCCTGAACGAAGTGCGCCGCTGGGCAGGCCTTCTTTATCTTCTGAATTGCCGTTCCATTGTTGCCCGTATGTGAACGAACGACCTCACGTTTCTACGCCAGCGCTGGGACGTGACTTATTAGGCACGTCACCAACTGTGTGGGCGCGCCCTCGCGTCACGTCTGCAGCCAATCGGAGCCGTTTTGATTTTGAACGCGGGACCGTCGCTGTTGCCTGTAACAAGTGAGGTATTTATTGCGCTGCTAAGCACGTTGATGAAGGTCCGATTCCCAGCATAGAGGAACGGAACAGTTCGAAGACTTACTTCGTAATGATAAAGAAAGAAAGAAAGAAAAAGAAAGAAAGGAAGAAAGCACAAACAAACAAGGGTGTTGGGTCCTCTGTCAGGCTATATGCTTTTAGCCCCAACATCCTTTTGTTTCTTGTGTCTTGTACACGAAAACAATAAAACAAATTTTGAAAATTGAAAAAAAAAAAACAAATAAATAACGAGAAAGGTAGAAAGAAAGAAAGTAGAAAGGTAGGTAAGCAAGTAGATAAGGCACTGAGAGGCCAAGCTTCACTCGCTCCCGTTGTTCCGATACAGGAGGGCTTGAATTGTTTTTTACGAGTCATCGTCCATTCGAGGTTGCAGGTCACGCATGCTCCAAGATAAGCATGGCCGCTGGGGTAATCGCCGCCTTGTTCTTTTCATCGTCTGCAGGTCGAGCAGTGGCTGAGGGCGAACGAGACGCACGACCGTAAGCTGACGTCGGTGCACTCGAAGCTGGACGAAGCGCTGCAGGAGAACCGTCAGTTGCGGCTAAGCCTAATGGACACGCAGAACAACGTCGCGCTGACGCGCAGCGAGCTGGCCCAGATTCGCTCGCAGTACGAGGACAAGTGCAAGGCGCTTTACGAGTGAGTGAGCCTCCTCGGCCTGTTTCACAAAGGGCTCTGAAGTCTGACACGGGCCAGAGAACCGCCATACGACCAGGAGCAGAGATCTTCAGTATAAGAAGTCACAGCTTTGCCGCAAAGGCGAAGCAATGAACGCGATAGCAACAAATCGGAAGGCCACGCGCAGAATGACAAGCAGATCGAAACGTGCCCCGCGTTTTTCACGCATGAATGACGCACAAAACGTGCTCACAGGCACAGATGAACGCGAATAAGCTTCTCAGTCGGTACTTCGCTGTGTCTGAAAAGCGCGCCCTTTTCGGAAACGGAGGCTTTGCAATGACAAAGTGCGCCCCGTAACTACAACAGAATCATTCCAGCCGATCGCCAACCAAGACGTATGATCCTTCACAGCGGGAGATAAGGGCGCCGGAGAGATCATCCACTCCACTCCCCTCCTCTCCGCGGGCCAAAGCACGCGTGAGAAATGAGAGCCGCCGCGCGCCTATTGCGCCATCTTGCTGATAATGCTGAGAACACTATGCCAGTACTACGTGTAGCATTGAGCAGCTTGCGAGGAACGTACGCGGGACGGCTGCACGGCTATTTACTTCATCGTATTGTTGCTCCTAGATGGCGTGACATTCTGCAAGCTCCCGCAGAATCGGTCATTAACATGTCTGGGTTTCGGGAAGCAATTTCGCAACTGATATGATTCAAGAATTGCTGATAATGCTGAGAACACTATGCCAGTACTACGTGTAGCATTGAGCAGCTTGCGAGGAACGTACGCGGGACGGCGCCAGGGCTATTTGCTTCATCGTATTTTGCTCCTAGATGGCGCGACATTCTGCAAGCTCCCGCAGAATCGGTCATTAACATGTCCGGGTTTCGTGAAGCAGTTTCGCAACTGATATGATTCAAGAACTCAGTCACAGTAGCGCGTGGAATCACGAGTTGAGTTTGAACACATGGTTTCTCTCGAGGTGCACAGAAGTGTATAGCCGACTCCAACCTAAGAACAAATACCAGCTCTCCCCGCCAAACTGGTTGCGCTTGTCATTCGCCCGTGATAGAGAGCCGTGTAAACTGGTTTCCTTTCGAACCGTGAGTACCCCTATCATGTGCTGATGTAAAAGAAAATCATATCTAAAACTAAAGGTTCGTCACTCCCATGTAAAATACTTTTGGCTAATCTGTAGTATAAGAATATCTGATTAAATTCAATGAAATTTCACAGAACGTTCAACATTTTGACTTGAAACCAACGAACACGTGTTTGTACGGGCACCAGCTATCTGAAACGCGCGAATTGCATTTAGTGTCACGAGAATGGGCAAGTATAGATTGATTGAAATGTCTTGGTAGATTTATTTTTGGGCGGAATAGTGATGCAATGAGTGAAGGTTATGTTTATTCTTAGGTTGTTTTGTTCCCATAAGCGGGTGTAGGGTTCCCCTTCCGGGAACCCACCACGCGCACGCCAAGGAGCTTAAAAAACTTGTAATTTTTTAAAAACCTCCTTGGCGCACGCCTATGTTCGTTCCTGACGGCACGACGCGCCCTGCCTCCCCGCACGCTTGTACTGGGAGGTCTAACAACTTCTGCGGACGGGGTTCCGATGCGATAGCGAAAGTAACATTGTCAGCTTTGATCTGTACAGGCACTACTTGCCGCGTCGGTGTTCCCGTTTGTAACAGCGTTCGGTGACCGTTGTTGTCCTCACTCAGTCAACCAGCTTTACTCGTTGTAATAGTGTGACGATTTGTAAGCGAAGTCATTACTGTGCAGCACTTGGAACGAAACCGCGCTTTGCTGTTGTTACTTACAGCGAACGAGAGCGCATCATGGGCGTACTCCAGGAACAAGGACTCGCTAGCAAGCAGCTTCAGCACCTCCAGTGAGTGTCTTTTCTCTCAGTAATGCGTAGTTTTTTTGTGCGTCTGCAACGCGCCATATCTTTCGGATTTGTCTTCGGGTTAGTGCGCATGGAACTAGGTTCGGATCGTGGTTTCCTATCGACTGTTACTTTCAAGCACTCTCGAATTGGATTCTTCGGGACGTATACTCTGGCGTAGTCTACTGTGCTTGTCAACTGAAACTCGGAACGCGCGGCTGTGGATGGTCACGTTAATAATAATAGTTCTAAGAAGTTTTAGGTGCTAAAACGGCGATGTGGTTATGAGGGAAGCAGTATAGCGGAGGACTTTGGAAAATTCGGCCATGTGTTCTTTAAAAGGATAGTGACACGAAAATTTTCACTTGTCGTTTTTGTTGCGTCAAATAGAAAAGAGACCCGAAGAGCCCAGAGAATGCACTGCTAAGTGTGAGTGCACCATGACCAGATAATTACAGTACATTTTTAAGAGCTAGTTTTGGTTCCTACCCTATCCTGATGTCACATCGTGGCACGAGCTTCTATAGTCACTAGCCCTCGCTAGATGTCGTGGCGTTTGCACGTCCACTACGTGGATCTCTTGGTGACTTGCAAGTCAACATTCTGTACGTATTTGGGGTCGCACAAGCGGCCATCTGAATTGCCTTCGTGATCAAAACTTAGCCATACTTGTGCCGGAATCGACACGGTAGCCTCACGCCACCACAGTGTCGATATCTGCAGCAGATGTCGCCATGCTAAAATCGACTCTACAAAACAAAGTTTTTGTTGCCACAGTTGCCATGGGGATATGGGGCTTTGTCAAGTTGTTTCATACAGTTTTTTTTCCTCTGTCCCAGCCACTTACTGTACAACCGTACGAGGTAAATTTACTAAACTCAAACTATCTTATCAGCGTTTACTCAGCTTTCGCACCTGCACAGAGCAGTCTTTGTATGCAGAGAGCGCAAATGGTAAAATAAACTCGTGTTTGAGAATCGGTGTCACTACGCCTTTAATATGCACTCAAGACTATGTACACGGGCTCCAGCATTTCACCTACCTCGAAATGCGGCGGCCGCGCATCTAGCGAAGAGGGTAGGGTGGTGTTGAGGGTGAGACTGCTTGTGACAGATGGTTCCTGCATCCGGTAGACAATTTCATTCACTCTGTAATTATCTGTGGTGCGGCCGGTGCGCCGCTCGACATCGCTTTCAAAACACAGCGCTCGCGTACCGCGTCGTGCAAAATGGCTGAAGCTGGCGAGCGGCAGTTACGAAGGGTGGCAGTGCTCCGCCAGATCCAGCGAGAACCGCAGACTGTTTACCGGATGCAGGTCGCCATTACTCACCGACGCTGTCGCCCTCACCAAGAGTAGCCACGCGCTCCCAGCTATACGTTTTAATCGCCGACCACTGTACTTGGTTAAAGCTTTGTGGTTGCTTCTTCGTACTGTAGCCAACGAACAAGCGTGCGCATGGTGGGGGGGGGGGGGAGGGGGGGTCTCCTAGTAACCAGTTGGGGAGCACAATCTGCCTCATACCATGACTTAGTAGTGGGGCGTGACGCTGGGATAAACCTTCACCTCCTCCCCCCCCCCCCCCCCCTCCCCCATGATGGGAAACCCTGCGCATGCCTGTTGCAATAAACGCACATTTTTCTTTTTTTACACGTCTTCTAGCAGTGCTCCAGTATAAGTTGAAACCTTGGTTAAGGTCAGCGTGGGCATTCTGTCTACGGTAGCATTAGTGGCATTTACCTTCCTCTACCCGCACGCTTGCTAAGTACAGTATTGCCCCGAATAGTTCCCAGTAACTCTCGTCGTCGTATCATTACAGCACATATTCTCACTAATAAGGGTGCATGACGAGCATGTAGTTAATCTTTAATTGTGGCCAGTTTATTAGCGTAAAAAGTGCAACTTCAACACCGCCGATTTGATGATTACTGCAAAGCGCCAGTTACGACAGTTCAACGCTTCGAGTCCCTAGCTCAATTTAAAAAAAAACAGATTGGCGGGTCAGTAAACGCTTTCAGTATAGGGTATCATCGAAACCACCGCTACGAAATTGCGAGCCTATAGCGGTCTGTCCGCGCATGCAGCGCTGTCATGTTCTTGTCGCAATAAAAAATTTCGTATTGATGGCCGCTTTGGGCCACTAGGGCGAGCCCAATTCTATGCGTCTTTCTCGCGTTTAGCGTTACTTTTAGTGTGCTATCTGCAGATCTAGTTTTGAAATGCGCATATTTTAATGATATTACACATTGTGTTGGCCCTGCTTGATAACGTTATGGAATTTATTGTTGGTCACAATCGAGTGCGTTAAAAAATTTGTTTTTCGAAGAGAAACTAGGATAGAGGTAAGAGCTTTAATTTTGTGTATTTGCCTCCTGGCCGTTGACATCGCTGTTTGATGGCTTTTGCGCTTGGTATTTTACAGAGAGGCCAACAGAAAACTGCAAGACACAAACGACATCTTGCGGAGCGTCTTGGAGAAAGCCGAAGCCGAGAAGTCGCACACCTCTGATGTATGCCGGAATTTGATGGTTTATTTATCGAGATAGATTTATTTATTTATTTATTTATTTATTTATTTATTCGCGGTACTGCCAGTCTCTACTGAGACCGTAGCAGGTGGGCACTCTGTACAGATGCTATGATTGCTCATCCTAGTAAAAAAAAACTGTAATACAGAACATAAAAGCACCATCAACCTGGCACTTTGTACATTAGCAATATTTACACAACATAATAAATAAAATACAAGTGCATACAAAAATGGCAAGTTTAACAATAAGGCCGCTTACATGGCTGTTTACAGAACATGCAAGGAGTACATACTGGTTTCATTACCATTGTCGCTGGGTATTTAAAGAGGCTAAGAATTGTTTTCAATTTCTAACTCAAACCGAGGCAGTGACTCAGTGTTAGTGATGGGAGGGGCCAACATGTTCCATTCCCGAATAGCAACCGGAAAAAAAGAATATTTAAACACAGGAGTGTTGCATTAGTATTGTACTAATGTGTGTGTATGTTTGTGTCTTGTGGCTCGTGTTTGTGAATAAGACACGTAATTTTAAATGTCTATATTAAAATAAATGTGCAGGAGTTGATGAACAAATTTTAGACGTGCCTGTTTTGCTAGATAGATAGATAGATAGACAGTTAGATAGATAGATAGATATGCATATCTACCTGTAAAATTTGCTTTCCTTGAATGTACCTATATTGCTCGGGGTTTCATGCGCATAGATCTACTAATCGCAGTTACACCTAAAAACTATTGGACACACCGATAGGTATTTAGCCACAAAATATCGCCACGTGGGGCGGCAGTACGTGTTTGTTTGATTTACCTGTAAATAGAAACAAAAAGTTTTTACCTGGTTCTTCGTTTATCATTTTTCGATGTTCCGTTTCTACCCTCATACAACAGCAACTGGTCAGACAAGAGTCGGTGCTTTCGGACTATTTGGGCGACTCCGCTTTCACGCCACCCATGAGGAACCGAAGGTACGTAGACGCATGTCATACAGTTTTTTTTTAGATTCGAAGCAGCTCTTTGACTCGCGAGAGTGACGTCGTACGTACGTGCGTCTGTGTAAACGCGCCGCAGCGCGTTTCCTTCGCCGCAGGTGTGGGAGCGGTGCCAAGTAGGTCTCACCGCAGGTGCGCGTTGAGGCCACGCTCCCCTCGCATACTTTCCTCGAACATGCGCGCTAACGTCCCTCTCTCCCTCACCCGCAGCACGCTTGCCGCAGCTGCCAGCTCCTCCGCCCGCCCGCAACACACTTGTGTTTTTTTCCTACCGCTGAGGATGGGCCCCTTGCCACCCCTATCCTTGCTTCTGGACTGCTGCTTCTGTTGATGACGACCGTTCCACTGCTCAATTAATCTTTCCTCTTCTTTCCCCTTTTCCCTTCCCCGCAGACACTGCGCCGTGCTCCCGACCGGGTTACAGAAATTAGGTGCCTTTTCTCATCTTCTAACCACTACCACACTTGTTTCTCGCTTCGGGCCGTTCCATGCGCTATCCGCACAGCAGCAACGCACGTGCCGGCACACCGGCCGCAGGTGTGTGGGTGAAAAAAATGTCGGAGGGTGAAAACACATCGCCAATTGGCTGATTTGTCCCCCGCTTGCGTGCGGCAGAGACGTGTGTGGCGGCTGTGCGGGTAGCGCGTGTAAAGGCCATTCACTCTCCCCACCGCCCGCAACGCTCGACCGCACGTAGAGTAGAAACACTCTTTCGGCTCGTTTACTTGCGACGAAACTCACGCGAAACCCAACCCTCCTCCCGTGTCTTTGCGTTTAAAAGAAACGTTTACTCGAGTAAACGTAGCCCGAGTTTCGCTTCAAACCATTCTTCCGGCACCCGCGTCGACGCCCGTTTCAACCGGGTCAACGCCGTGCGCACCGCTGCTGCTTCGCATTCCATCAGGTTTTCTTCGGGGAGATGGTCCATAATTTTTTTTCGCGCTAGTTAGGTTAACTTACGTTGGTGACCAGTGACAACTAACGACCACAATGACCGTGTCCTAGCTAGCACATAGTCACTGTGCACAGTGAATAAGCGCTAGTACGCTCTGTACTGATTGCAAGTTTCAAACCATTTGGTGAAATGCCTGCCACCTGCGTAAGTTACACAAGGAATACGGTGGTGAGATGAAATTTGCCGTTCATAGACGTCGAAAATGCTTCTTAGCTTTTAAATCACGTGGAAAGACTGCCGCAAAAGGCAGGACGATGCGCTACTTGCAACTGGCATATTCAATTCAGAATGCTCATTTATATTACGCAGTTCAGTACTTTTCCGTGATGACTATAGATGACAAACGGTTATGTAGAGCATCATATTATCTGCTGGAATGTGTCGTTGCAGGAACCTTATCTGCTTGTCGTGCAAGCTGATATAGGGATGATTTATACACCTGTTATCCTCTTGGCTGATGTGAATGGTTTCAGTAATATCTAAGTTTCCGCTATAGATGACAGACAGTTATCTAGAGCATCATATTATCTGCTGGAATGTGTCGTTGCAGGAACCTTATCTGCTTTTCGTGCTAGCCGATATAGGGATGGCTTATACACCTAGCACCTTCTTGGCTGAAGTGAATGGTTTCAGCAATATCTAAGTTTACGCTTGCCGCTTATAAACTGCCGTGGTCCTTTCAAATAAAGGTCTGCGTCCGCCCTCCGTACAATCTTTGAAACCCGTGAAACGCTGTGTGAAAAGTGTGTGTATGGCCTGCCAACCTAGGAACTGTGGTGTTCCTTCAAGCGTGTGTTCAGGCATCTTCCGGTCTGCCCGACGTAGGCGATCCCGCCGAAGCACAGAATTCGAACCGGGCTCGCCCAACTTTTATCGTGCTGAAGATGCTTCTGCTGGTTGCCTCTGGGAGTGACGAAAGCCGGCGCCTTTTCCTGTCTTCCGTCGCTTTTCTTCCCCTTTCTCCGTTGCGTCTCGAGTATCGGCGTTGGGAAGAAAGCAGTATGCGTGCTTCCAGTATTCGAAACCTGGCGTCGACGTCAGTCATGTCTCTCGTCGCGCCGCGCAATAGCAGAGGGTGCTCCGTTGTTCGCAAAATCCGCCGCCGTCCGTGACTCTTGCGACTCGTGCGAGTGCTTCATCGAGCTCCCCCGCTCCTTCGGCGCTTTTCATTCTCCGGGCCTGAAAGCAGGCTTGTCCGCGTGACACGCGCGAAGAAGACTTGCTGGCAGTCTTCTCCGAGCAAGGTGTTCGGGAACGAGACGGCATCGGGGCGGCCCGTGAAGCGCACCGATGCTGGAAGATGGATTTAAAAGGGGGGATATAGTTTCGGCGCAGGGCTGCCCTGATGAAAGAGACGCACGCGAGAGAAGGTTTCTGCGCATGCTCGAGCGGGCCTGCCGCCTAAAGCGCGCGCGCAGCTTTTCTACGTCGTTACAGTGGGCGCCCTGTGAAATTATTACGAGGACATAACTCTCTACCCGCCCTTCCCCACGGGCGTGCCCTTTCCCCCACGCAGAGCTACGGCCCCGAGAGAGCCAGGGCTGTTCAAGGCTTTGGGAGTTCTCTGAAACGATGGCTGCATGCGTGCGTGCTATACGATGCACGTCTCTCCCACCTCCGCCTCTCTCTTACACACGTCCTGCGCTCCTGCAGCAGAAGCAGCACAGGAAACAGCTGTGGTGTTCTCTCGCTATGCGCCTTGGGCGAGCGCGGGCCAGTGAGGCAGAGAGATATTGCGAATGAAACGAGCCTCGGATAGACGCGAAGAAAAAAGAAATGCGATAGAGGGGGTTCGCGAGTACGCTGCCAGGCTATCTGTGCAGGAAGGCAAGGAAGGGGCAGCAGCTTGCAACTCACTTGTTTAATGCGTCGCGATGCTGCCGCCGCCACCGCCGCCGTGATTCTTATGAAGAACGCCCACTACCGACCTTGGAAGGCACTTGCCGCCTCCCGTGGAACTCTGACAGGCTTCTAGAGCGTTCAGGACCCGACGCCTCCGATTCAGTCGACCCTTACCAGGATCACAAGACTGCTTGTGGTCCCCTGCCGTCGTTTTTTACCTGGACTGATTGGACTGCTTTTGGTACTCCCAGTGACCTGGTACACTAGGTATCTCTCACCCCACCCCTTACCTGGTGGTGAGGCTGCTTGCAATCGAAGGTACACTGGACTGACTGGACCATTCCAAGAAGCGCCTACTGACGTCGTCTCCCGATATTTTTTCGTCCGTAGTGAGCTGAAGTAGTCTTCAAGTTCCAAGAACCGTCACCTTGTTCTTTGCCGCGCGTGTGCGACATAGTTTAGACTGCTGTCGTGGCGGCTACCTGAACGTCGATTGCGTTTCTCATGTGGCGTCACCTTGGGTTCGCGTAGAACTCTCGCTGAGGTGGTCACACAAGCGACACCTCGTCGTGAGCGTAGACTGGACCGGCGGACTCCTGATGCAGCCGGAACACCTGACCGTTGCTCCAGAGTGATTTTCCCGAGGTGTCTGCTCATCCCAGTGCAAGCATCGACGGCTGTCCCCGTTATTTGACAACGGCGGGATGACGTGACTGGCGCGGTCACATTAGAGTGTTGAAGAACGGTCTTTTTAGGGGTGTCTGTTCTACGAGTCGTAGCTGGGTCGGAAGTGGTGGAACCGCGGCCGTGCAGCTGTCCTGGCCACGAAGTCAACTGAGGGAATACTATAGTGTGCGCCATGAAGCGACTCAAGGCAATGTTTGGCGTCGGCAGGCGGGGCAAGTTGATTGTGAGCGACGGGCGTGCGCAACCGGAAGTTGATCCGGTGATGTCCTACAAAGTGCTTCCGGTCGGCGACACGGCCGAGGCTGCAGCAGCCGACCGGGAATCGCCGCCGACGGCGAATGGCTGGGCCGGAGGGAAGTCTGGGAGAACGAATTCGATTGTCGCCGTCGAAAAGTAGGTGACGCTTTTGTCCGGTTCTCTTGACAATTAAGAATTTAGGAGGCATGGGAAAGAGGGACTGAGTCTGCGTTACGTCGTCAAGAGGAGGAGGAAAGGTTAATCATAGGAGAGGAGGGAGCTCTTTATATAAAACGGAACGTTGATTGATTGATATGTGGTGTTTAACGTCCCAAAACCACTATATGATTATGAGAGACGCCGCAGTGAAGGGCTCCGGATATTTAGACCATCTGGGGTTCTTTAACGTGCACCCAAATCTGAGCACACGGGCCTACAACATTTTCGCCTCCATCGGAAATGCAGCCGCCGCAGCCGGGATACGAAACCGCGCCCTACGGGTCAGCAGCCGAGTACCTTAGCCACTAGACCACCGCGGCGGGGCGTAAAACGGAACGTTCAACCGGTGTATATTTGCGCATACTTGCTACACTTTATGGATGGCATATGAGAGCAGAAAGACGATTGTAGAACAGTGTGGACAGTAAGACATGTAAAGAATACAGTAAATTGCTGCTGTCTTAGGCGACGAAGGAAGAGTCGTTGCAGCTAATGTAAAATATAAAGTAAAAAAAAGAACTAAACACTTACGAACGCACTTTCTTATTATGCTTTTCGAAGTTTTGCCAGAAAACTGATACGCTCCATTTACGCGAACTATAGATGTTTAGTGTTCTTAACTGTTTCGATGGACAGCACTCCAGCTTTCTTGTGTCACTCTATCACCGGCTACGATTAAAGGTTGCCCACACGAACGGTCCGCTTCACCACAGTGGACCATTCGTGTGGGCAACCTTTCATCACGTGATGTGACGTGCCTTCATCACGTGTGGTGACGATTGCGGAGCTGTGTAGTCAGTATGCATGTAGCTCGAGTGTCCAGCATATAATGGCGAGCGATAGCAACGTCAGGAGAACCCATAGAAAAGCTCGACCCGAAGCCTCTTAAACAGAGGGAAAGATGGTATTCCCGCAGCCGAAGGTGTAGTTGAAAGCACGGTTTGGCGTCGAAGTCCGTGATACGAATATGTCACAGCTGGGAAAAGGAAAAAGAAAAAAAAAACGCGAAGAAAAAAAAAATCTGTGGCCCTTGAAA